GTGTGTGTGTGTGTGTGTGTGTGTGTGTGTGTGTGTGTGTGTGTGTGTGTGTGTGTGTGTACATACAATAAATCGTAGCATAAGAAACAGTTAAATTGTTACACGATTTATAGCAGCAGTAAGAACTGCTTGCGAAAAGTTCGTCCAGAAAAGCACTGCCACTTTGCCTATTTCTAAGCAGAAATGTGAGTAATGATACGTTTCGGTTTTGAAGAGTAAGGATGCTGTAATTACAAGCACATGAGACTTGTCAACTTATGTTTCAAGGTAACGGACGCAGTGGCACTATCTCTCAGATCATTGCGATTTAAAGCACTGAGTGGCACTGGAATTGCTATGGACACGCGTGTCACATAAAACCGGACGCACGACTTGTACGTCTTTCACTTGGTCTCATAAAAATAACGTTAACTCCCTAAATTTACTATTTGTACAATAACGAAAACAAAATCAATTCAAAATATCTTTATCAACATTTAAAGAAACATCTACATATGTCTAATTATATCTGTCCTAGTTCTAATTTTCGCTTCATCAAATTTTGCCTATTATACATAGATACTTTTATACAAACGTTGAGGCGTGTTTGGCCCTTAAGGAATTTTCATTTAGGAAACATTGTTTTAATGTCTTTCTGTACTACGTTTTTTCAAATTACAAAGAGGGGAAAGAAACAGAATATTTATAAAATTATAAAAGATGGCTTCCCATGTTATAAGTATAAAACAATGATTGTGCCGTAAAAATTGTAGCCGATTAATGACAATAAAAATTAGCAAACAATCCAAATGTATAGTCACAGTGTTTGCCTATTCATACATTTTGTTAAGTGGTAAAGTTTTGATGCACCGAATCTGTGTGGAACTGTCTCAAGTTTGACAGGACCCTCTTCAAATGAAATAGAGCCGTGAATTCCTTTATAGATGTTAAAGATTTTCATGAAATCAATATCATTTTTCTTGCAAATGTCGGATTTAATAGGTTAAATATTGCTAATTGATAAAGATGATGCTTGAACTTCGTGATCAGTCACGTACCAGCAGTGTCTTGGAAAATCTCACAAGAGTTTCTGAGAAATCGATAACCGAGTGAGCGAGCTAATTGCGTAGTGTCGTGGTAAATCCACTCGGGACATAAACACCGCCTTGCTACTAGATTAAATTAGTGGAAAAAAACCATGCAAATATATAGAACCAGACGAAGGTGGCCGTTACATATCAATTGAGTTCGTTTCATTCAATAAACTAAATAGTTTTATTCTTTACAGCTTCCATGTAGTTTAAAGACTATTAAAAACTTTTCATGAATAACTACGGTTAGGTCATTACGTATTATAATAAAATCATTAAGTGATGTATGTGTTTAAAATGTAAAACGGTGTTAAATAATAATTATTCGTTTATGCGCTTAAAACATGGGTATACAAAAGAAGATGTACTAAGAGACAGCGCCTGTACAAATATAATAAAAATATGTTTCGCATATATTAAATTAAATAGCATGCAAATGTTTAATTATACAATATAATTTATAAAGTCATAGTCAATTCAACTATGACTTTATAAATTGGGAAGTTTTGCCCTAAGCGGGGATAAAAAGGTTTAATTTATAACTTCTATGCAAATATTATATCCAAAATCATTAAACCGAATTAATTAGTTAATCTAAAATCGCAGAGAGAAATCAGCACATGCTCATAACTCAGGTTGACAAGAGAGGGGTATGTTTTCGGGTAGGGGGAAGGTGCGGAACAATAAATAGTCCGACACACAAGGCAGAAAATTGAAGAGGAAAATTTACGCGTGAAAACGCGGCAACCAGGATTGGAAGACGAAGAAAAGCACAAATAAAATGTTTATAAAAAGGTAATACAATACATATGAATAAAACCGAAAACTGCCTTGTCAATACCGAAATAACGTGTATTGCAGGACTCTCTATTGAATATTTTAATAGAGAGTCCTACAATATCACTCTACACAGTTCTTCTCCGCTACTTAAACAAAATCGCAATTCTTTCCAGAGCGAGTCAATGTTACACGTGTACGAAGCTTTCTTGAACGTTAATCCCATATATGTATGTGTAGCTTGTTTTACAACAATTGTGATAAATCATACTTTTCGAGAACAGATGTAGGTAATGGTTCGGGTGTTACCATAATTATAAATAAGAAAATTATGTACGTTCATCTAAAACCTTGCTAGTTAACTTCTGACCGGGAGTAATTAAAAGTGGTTTGTACTTCACAACGTAACTCGAGAATTTCTCATTATACTTCAAAGTTAAGTCAATACTTGCCCGTCATAAATGAATTTATTCATGGAGTCTATGCCTGAATGAGGCTATTTCAGCCAGTTTATAGAGATCTTAACAGGGAAGAAAATGTACTCCAGGGGCTTCAGAAAGTGTTACTACAATGTAATTATAATTACAGGCCAATATCCTGTAGCAAAATAAGCAAGAGGTTTAAGAGCCTTTGTTATATATACCAGAAGTATTATGTGCTTTGTATGCCCGTGTGTGTACGCGAGTGTAGATGATTGCGTCTATGCGTGTGTGAGTGCGTGTGCGCGCGCGTGTGTGTGTTTGTGTGTGACTGCATGAGCGTATTTGTGTAGTGAGTATTAGTGTCTATTAACGTTCTATGTCACAGGCAGCTCGTTATATTTTAAAAATGTGTTATGTTGCTTCGATTTGAATTAAGAGCTTTTGTGAATACTCACCTTGACCAGTATCTCCAGAGCCTCCACATACGACATCTCCGTTTCATAAAGCTCCACCACCACGTGTGTTCTGGTGTCCTGAAATCAATAACATATTAACCCAATTGTCTAACAATGTCAACTGAACAATTTATTTTATAAAATATCGTTAGACAGATATATTCCCGGCTTGCGTATTTTAATCATTACAAACAAAATTCTTCTCATAGATGTTTATCTACACGTTATTGAACAAATCTTTTATAAGAGCGCCCCAAGTTAATTAAATCTCCCTTAATATACGGCCGGGTGAATTTTCCAGTAGCTAACAGCACTTGGACATAATTAATGGGGTATCGATCCGTCCGCATATATCGCGCCGAGGTCAACAACTGCTTTACTGATAACCGTCTGAAGTGTTCAAATCGAGATTTCAACACGTGCTCGCCCCTGTTCACTTTAAACTTCACATCACTCAATCTATCGCAGCTCATTATAAAAATTGAAGTCTAAATCAAATCACGAAGATTCGAAAAAATTTCCTACAACTTGATTAATGTTTCCGTAAAAGGTTCTTAAGTTATTTATGCGCAGTTAGACAATATTTATTGCCTCCGTAATGTTCATAATTTAATGTGCGTTTGTGTATGGAAATGTTGTTGTTGACTTTCCGTGTTAAGAAATTAACATCACGTAAGGGTTACATATATAAGAGTAAGTACTTTGTTAAAATTCGATTTTCTATACAAAAGAAGCATGCATGTGGACCTGTCCCGTACGTATGGAATTTCGAGGGACCATCCTTGTAATCTAAACGCACATCAAATAATGCGATCACAGGAATGCCAGTATTCTCGTCCAGTGCATCTGAACAATACTGGACATATTAGGACGGTACGTGTCAGACACGTATAACAATGGTGGGATAACATAATTCCGGGTGCAATCTAACTATATAATAAATACTAAATTTCCATTTTGAATGCGGCCAACTTACTTGACTGAGTCAAAACAAATACCACCTCTTCATATTTAAGTACCATATTATTTAGCCTTTAACGTTTTCTTGGACTTTAATGTTAAGTGCAGCTGTAAATCTTTGGATAATTGCCCTTGGAATTGGAAAAGTGAACTTGCTTCCCTGGAGATACCACTACATCTTCATTGTAGAATAACGCGTGAACATGTTTTAGCGTTATGTTTTTACTCATCATGTTCCACTACTGGACACGAGTAACTTCTCAGACGAGGTTTAAGCCATTGTCCGCCACGCTGGCCCAATGCGGAATGGGGCGTTCACACGTTTTTCGAGTATTGTTAACCTTCTTCGACGTTGTTTTCTACCGAAAAGCTCATGGTAAATGTCAAATTAAACTTCGCACATAAATTCCGAGAAACTCAGAGGTGCGAGACCGGATTCGAACCCACGACTCTCTGCTTGAGAGTCGGTAGGTCAAACCATTAGGCTACCACAGCAATTCTCAAAATACTAAAAATAATGAAATACAACGCGCAAATCCGAAAATCACATCCTCAAGGACATTTAAGTCTTTGTGAAGGTCGTTACCTTAACTTATTCATCATTGAAAAAATCAATCAATACTTTATTGCATTTTCTACAATATTTTACAGGGAGGTTGATATAATATTTAATAGATCATTGCAGACCCTGAATAGGACACAGCAAACTGGAGACGAGGACATACTTATAATAATAAATTGATCTTTTAAATCATAATCCTGAGTAAATTCTGAAACATTTATAACATAATAAAGTTAATTGTCTTCTTTTCCGTATTTCATTTGCATATAACTATGCAAAGTATAGTTTGTGAGAGGCGTGTATACCTATATGTATACGTTGCAATACGGGATGATTGCGTGCGTGTTCAGCTCTCGAGCCCAATTCCTGCGCATCGGCCTTGCCGTGATGAAAGCTTAAAGGAATGCGTGGGATGAACTTCCAACATGTTTTCAGATAAACGAAGTCTTTTTTGTTATTTTTTTCCTCATTGCAGTTACACAACTCTTAATTGTTTAAAAGTATATATATATAATGCACTATCATATATATCGATTTAGGTTTTCTATAATCAAAAAGTTTGGTAACAGAAATTAAACGTGATGCCTCCTGAAACTGAAAGTAAACCTATGGGAATACCTGAAATAATGTTCCTTTTTTTCGCATTTGTTTTGAGTTTTTTATAATGTTCTGCATTTTCCTATATTTGAACAGCGTTAACTGTCTCATATTATTTAACGCGGGAAGCTACATCGGCCGCCTTCGGGTAAAAGTATTTTAAGAGAAAAACAATTATCTTTAAAGTCTGGATATCCAATAATAAGTTCAAGGAAAATAAAAAATCATTCTATACCAGTGAATATTTAGGATCAAAATTAAAAAAGCTAAAGGCTTTTTTAAACATTCGAAGAGACTATTATTGAATACAATATATTAATCGCACCTAAGCGTGTTTCTACGAAACAATATCGTGAATTATAAGCAGCATTGTATTTTAGTCGACTAACTGATAGACACATGAAAACAAACACAACAATCAAAAGCTTTGAACTGTACTGGAATTCCATAAAATCAAACCTGTAAACGCTCTATTACTAATATTAGATTATTATACTAGTGATGGCATCGAGTATATAACCAGAAATAGAGACGAAATGTCATTTAATTTGTTTGAAAACTATTCTATATCATTACTGTGACAACTGCGCTCCGATTGGCTAGCCCGAGTTCGAAACAATTGACGGGTGTCGTCAATGGGTGTCGTCAACTGTTTCACTTCAAATGTCGATTTGTCGAACAGTTAACTTGAGCTTTGCTATAATGGACGAAAATTGCAAAATTACATATTTAATATTTAATTACCGATGAAATGTGATTCCGTTTGTTTTGTAATTAGACGTTTTGCTGTTTTTCCCACACCACCGAGTAGAACAGCACAGCATTGTTAGAGATATTATCTTTATTACAATAAATACAGAATATTTTTTGGAACATACGGAGACGTACACACAGGTCAGTAGTTGGCCTGTCTATATTTCAGTGCAAACGAGAGTTGATATTTATAAGAGCTGTATCGCTAATGTGTTACCAGGAATATATGGCCCTTATTTCGTCTCTATTTCTGGTTATATACTCGACGTTAAGATCGCACACATTACGCAAAACTCTCATTACTTCAGCATCACCCTCCTTTGATGCTTTTTCTGCTGCACCCAACACTCACTCACTAAACATTTTGAAAAGAAATATAAAAATTAAATCAATAACGTAATTTTAGCGTAAATTTTTAACGTAATTCCACTTTCATAAAAATTTACTCATAAAACACAGTGTCATTCATAAGTCATAAGTGTCATTTGATCTGATCTCATCGTTATGAAAGTCGTTGCTATGCATTGCTATGCAATAAATTTATAAGACTAAAACAGGAGAAAATCCGAAGGTGCTATGTCGATCGAATACCGTAGATGAAGTAACATATCCCAAACTAGCTACAATAAATTTGACCGTTTTGTAAAAATGTGTATGGTTTTGTATTACCATGATAAAAGTTACGAGTATTATTCTTTTTTCAATAATATCAAGTGGCGGGACAAACAAGTCGTGCGCCTGATGGTAAGCTACACGCCTATCCATAACAGTTGCAGTGCCACTCAGCTCTTTAAACCGCGAAGATCAGAGGCTCACTGCCACTGCGCCTCTCGCCCTGAGACATAAATTGACAAGTCCCATGGCCTGTAATTTCACCAATACCCATCTAAACCGGAACACAGTAATGCTGACATTACTGCTTGGTAGTAGAAATGGATAAGGTGACAGTACTTCCCTGGACGAACTCTTTCACAAGGAGCTCTACTGCTACTAAATCATTCATTAACCATTAATCATAAACTTCAAATTAAAAAACCTACTTCAGAAATGCTGAACATTGACAATATAACTTTTTGAAAGGAAAAAGTTGTTTTTGTAAATTTTAAAGTTTATTTAATGTCACGATGTTTGACCATCATGACTTTTCAACGCGAGAGTGAATAGGCATTATTTAGGTGTGCACGCTCCATCGTCGACCTCATCGTCACTTTCCATCAGATGAGATGGAGGTCAAATGCGCACTTATATATTTTTATATTTAAAAAATTTTTATTAAATTATTTTTGTGAGATTACTTCACTGTGATGGACAGGCGTGTCATAAAAACGAACCAACGTCTTCCAGCAAACC